AAAATAAATAATATTGTTTTTCTCTCTTAGGCAAAATTCTGATCTGTTTAATAAAAATGTCTGTTTGTGCAATTGTATTTTGTTTGTGCTATGTTTAGTTGTTGTGCAGTTTTTGATTTGTCCATATTTTTCCATGTGGCTTAAAATGAACAGAAAGTAGTATTTCTAATGTAAAAAAGTTTATGCAAGAAAATTCACATGAAGCTTTTTTAATACAAAGTTCATGCACATTTTGGCTGGCAAATAAATCCCCAATATAATATTAATCATTATTAAGTGGTCCCTAGAAAATGGCCCTATTCCTTAGTACTGCAATGATGCATTTTTCACCACAAATACTTGTTTAAAAATGTAAGGAGGATTTAAGTTTCACTTTATTTTGCTTTTTCTGTCTCTATAATATTATTTTGCTGTTATTTACCATTGTACTTTTTATTTAAATGTGTACTAAAGAACTCCACTCCATTATGCTGCTGCCAATTGTAATTATCAGTGCCTGTTTGCCCTTGTGGGATCTGGAGCTAGTGTGAATGACCTTGATGAGAGGGGTTGTACACCTCTGCACTATGCAGCTGCATCAGACACAGATGGGAAGTAAGTGACATGCTTTGTACTACAGCCTTTCTCATTAGGAGCATTTGAGTTGTGAATTTTGTGTGTGCTCTGCCTTCAGATTTGCCAAATGCATTTCTTGTATTTTTAAAGATTTAATTTGACAGTGGTTTGTACATTGTATGTAAAAGACTTTATGTAACAAATATTTCAGGGGAACAAAGTGCGCAGGAAAATGTATTGTAAAAATTTTATGTCTTACAATGCAGATGTCCTAATTCAGGAATTAATTGGGAATAGAGTTTTTAATCCCATCTGCTTTGTAGTGTTTAAGTAAATATCCTTTGTGGAGTTTATAGAGTTAGTTGTGGGCAGTAGGGCCATTTTGCCTTCATCAAATTCTGATGAAGGATGGATATTAACTTGACATTTCAATATAAGATGCTTTATCTATTTGATGTTTGAGTAAACTAGAGTTGTAATGCCAAACACAGCTATCTCTTGATAGTGTAAATTTTTATGGTGCAGTAACACTTTTATTGATTACATGCATCCAGAATTTTTCATAAACCCACTGACCTCTTACATGTGTTTGTTTTCTAACGGTTATATTTGACATATTTATTAATAATTTAAGTGCTTATATGCAAAATGTATTGCACCAAACTGATGAGTCTACCTAAGCTCCAGACATTGTATATATTGAGGAGTAAAGAAGAACATCACTTGCTCGTGCACACACACACGTGCAGGTCATGGTGTATGTCATCACATGCCACATGCACACTGTGACGCCTCCTCTGGGGAAGTGCTGCTTTGTGCCAAATCGTCTTTTTTTAATACATTTAATACCTTTTAAAGGGAGAGGTAACAATAGGAATGAGGTGGCATATAACTTACAGATTGTGTTTTGAAGGCTAAATAAAGAATACTTTCATGGCCGTTTAACTTACATTTGAAGGATATGCCTTTTTTCTGTAAAGCCAAATTTCAAAATTAAATTGTCTGCTGCTTTTTAGAAATAATTTCAATTGCTGCTGGAGCTTGCTGAGATAATTTTACTTTAATTGCCCTCTTACAAGTCGAGCTATTTAATTTTAGCTTCACAGTTGCTCTGAAAACCTCCAGACTATAATGGTTCTTTAGATGACATCGTTTTGCCATCTGTTTTACAAAAGGCACAAGCAGGAGTGATGATGATGATAATACTGCAGAACTTTGTGAGGTAACTCAAAGCATCATCTCTGCAACCCACAGGCTGTTACCCTTCTGATTAACATTTGGGTCTCTGGAAGACAGGCTGCAAAGCAGAATGGCCTGAGGGGAAGCTTTTTATATTGATGCAGCAAGATGATTAGTAACAGCTGGAAAACCAGTACTGCTCAGTTCATTGAAAACAGGAATGAAGTTAAAAATTGTTACTGGAGTTGGAATATAAAACCTGGGAAAAAAACATGTCAGGAAGCGATCTATATAAAATTCCAAAGATATTTAGGTGCGTTTTTATGGTCTTTGCTCAGACATCTCTAAAGACAGATTTTAGAGAGGGGTGTTTCTGTTGAAAATTATTTTCTGGTTTATTGCTGTTGGAAAGTATTTATTTTGTATCTTTAACAAATGCTTTTGATCTGGAACAAACACCAGTAAGCCTCATTTTGCCAAGACTACAGAGACAAACATTATTTCAGAATTAGTTAGAATAACTAGCATCTTAGGGGAGGAAAAAATTGTGCTTCTTCTGTCTTAGAATTTTCTAATGGACAGTACACCAATAAATACATGGGAAATAAGTTTTAATTTATCTTTCAGAAAGTTTGATTAATCTCCTTTTTAAGAGACCTGTTGAAGACAGTTAAGTATGCAAATGATGCAAAGTTAACCTCTTTCTCTGCATCCTCTGGATGCAAAGAAACATTAAAAAAAATTATCTGGTTTGCACTGGAAAGATTGGGTACTTGAGGATTTTCAGCAGACTTGGCTCCATGCAGTGTATTTAGTGTATTGTAGAAATTTATGTAGCCAAAGCCAGTGACATGTAACATTTATTAATGAGCCATGAATGTTAACACAAAATTACTGATTCAAATTAAAAAGAAAAGTTAGAAGATTGGACTAGTGAAATGTAAGAGCCGTAATTCTTACTTAAAGAAACAAATTTATACTGGGCAAAAATTTTTTATACTGGGCAAAAAATGATCGAAGTGAGAGTGCACTTCTGATAAAAAAGTATTTAGTGATCCCAGAGAGAAAAAGGCACGGTGACCTGTTGTGCACTTCACAAAAACAAATGGCTTCTCCAGCAAGCTCAAGATCATGATAATGACTTTGGAAAACATTGCTGAAATGGTAGACAAAATTATGAAACAGCAGGGTTATTGCTTGTAAACATTTGGAGTCTCTTAGAAAACTAGGGAAAGAGTGAGCTGACTTGAGTCCTGTGTTTTTCCTTCTCCTGGCTGAGTGTCTGTGGTTGAAACTGGGGTGATCATGTTCTAATGAAACTAAGGAATGACAGAAGTAGGACAACAACTGAGTATTTATTGTATAAATAAATAAAAAAAATAGTGGCTGGTAGTGGAAGTGCGTGTGTGTGTGTTACTCTTGTATCCTTCCATGAATAATTCAGCTACTGCTTCTCTTCTTTCTGTGTAACATACAGAAGAAGGGGCTAATGCAGAAAAAACATACAAAACAGTAACCACTGATACCAGCAAATGTAACTGCAGTTGTGTTAGCTAGGAGGAAAATACTAGTTTTAACCAAGTCAGACAACTCAGAAGATGCAGGATGTCTGCAGAGAATTCTTTCAAACTTAAAGGCTTTGTGATTGACCCTTACAGTTGATGTAATGAGGTTGGTTTCTCTAGTCCTAGCCAATATTGTACATTAAATCAGTGTCCCTGTGTGCTGTATTCTATTTTCCAGTTGAATTGGAACAATGTATCACTTAGCATTAAGTTGAAATTCAGCATTTAGATACATGGTTGCATATGTCAATTTGAATAGGTGCCTGGAATACTTGCTAAGAAACGATGCCAACCCTGGGATCCGAGACAAACAAGGATACAATGCAGTTCATTATTCAGCTGCTTACGGTCATCGCTTATGCCTTGAATTGGTAAGAAAATACATCATAGATAAAAGGTGTAACAGCTGCTCTTACAGAGTATGATGGAGTGGCCAGGGGATTCCTCCGCCTCAGCTCTCACCTGTCAGCTGGGTCAATAATGTTTTGCAGCCTCTGTGTAGATAAATTTAAGCATTTGGTGTTCCTAAAGCGGAAGCAAGATGAGGAGCTAAGATGCTAGATACTGGCTTAAAAAGCTGATAATTCTCAGGTGAAGAGATAACTAGTTGAGGATGTGGAATATTAATTTTGGTTTCTTTCTTAATTTAGACTACACTACTAAATCTTTTTGCTGGCTGAAATAAAATAACCACAAATTATCCCACAGAGAAGTGTTAAGAAATTTCATTAATGTCATTTGAAAGGAGCAAATGAAAATGTGGGGAGAACCTGTAAACAAAGGATGCCTTATAAAATGGTTCATGCAGTTACAGTAGCTTATGGCCACATAATAGAATTTCCCATAATAAGGCTATTGCTCATTTTTTATTGCTCCCTTTGCAAAAATATGTATATTATTTGATATATTGTGTTACACAACTTCAGTATTTTTATAAAAATTGCACTTTTATATTCAAATGTATTGAAACATGAATTCTGAATGTTTTTAATTACAGATTGCAAGCGAAACGCCTCTAGATGTTGTAAGTGTACTATTTCTTACTTTTTAAGTACTACTATACAGCAAAAAGGAACATGTAATTTTAAAAATACTGCTTATTTTTTTTACTTGTTCAACCATTTCTTCAATGCATGAATGTATCATTTAATTTTAATTCCAATTTAGATTTAATTGGACTTTAGAATTTTAAAACAGGAAATTATTTTCTAAGCCATGTGGGTTTTTTTTCGTAAACAATTGTATGATCATGATATAAAAGTGTGATAATGAAAATGTAGTTTTAATGTATTTGGTGTTCTTCAAACASTTTGWATGTTTTAATTCTGCTAATGTATTCAATTAAATACGGTCTTGAAAAATACCCAGAATCAAAATTTTAAAACACATCTGAAAGTCACAGATAGAAATGTATATACATAAACATTTTAATACTGTAACACTTTCGGGATTTTTAGTCCATTTTTTCTCTCTGAGAAATGTTTTCCTATTCTGAGAAATCCATGCTACCTTCTGGCCATTCATATTGTTTTCTTGCTGACTATTCACCTAATCAAAATGCTTACTTGTTCTTTGGGGCTTGTTTTCTTCCCTACTGCTGCTGCTGTCACCTGTCCTTGTTTTCCATTTGTATTCATCTTTCATATTGCTACTTCAGAAAAAAAATATTGATTTTAGTTTTGTTTCTGATTGAATTATTGCATTATGGTGCAAAATTAAACTACTGCGCTTGGAGCATGAATATGGGGTGGTGTTGCAGTTGATTCAAACTCTGTAGAAGGTTGAAGATCAGCAGATCTGTTCTATACTATTCTTCCTATTTTTTCTCCTTTATTTTTTAATCTGTGTGCATGGGAAACTGTAGCAATTATTGTTGAGTGTTTTCAAAGGTGAGGGGGTTTTGCACTCACTTTGACTTTCTCTCTTTAAGCTGATGGAAACATCAGGTACTGACATGCTGAATGACTCGGACAACAGAGCGCCTATAAGCCCACTGCATTTAGCTGTAAGTGTTTAGTGATGACCACTCGTCTGCTAGCAAACAGTTGTTGCACAAGTTTATTCATTCTGGTTTTGTTTTTTTTTTTCAAAATACATTAATAACAATAAACAAAATTAAAAGATAGGTACTAATATTCCTGAATGAGGTATGCAGGATGATTTTTGCATTTCGCTTGCTTCATGGAACAGCTTTCATGTGAAATCTTCTAATTAAAATTTATGCTGATGAAACCTTTATAAGACTTGTTCTATACAGAAAGAAGAATTATTAGAAGAATTAGAAGATTAAAGAAAGTAATTATTACTTTCTTTAATCGTTATCATGTTTTACTCTCATAATTGTTTAGTATGAGAAATATTTATCCTCAATACTTTAAGGAAGATTTGCATTAGGAGTAGTGTAACACGGGGATGAAATTCTGTCTATACAAAAATGTTCAAAATACAGAGTAATCAGCTCAGTGTGTAGTTTTGCTCTTTTCACTGAATTTAAACCAACTGAAAAACCACGCGGTACTTTCTACAAATAGAGTAAGTCTCGTGCAATACCTTTATATATATATGTATCTCCAAAGTAAAAAATAATCTTTGGTAGTGGTAAATGAAAGCTATTTGTACTGCAATCTTATTACTGGGGCTTTTAAAAAAATGTTTTATGTAAAAAGCTAAAAGGAATTACTTCAGTTTGCTTATATCCCTCATTTGAAATAATCTGAGGATGATGTAACTACAACATAAAGCGATGAAACATGCAGTAGTCAAAATATTGTTGTTATTTATGCAGATTGAAGACAGATTATTTTCTGAGAGTAGTTGCAGTTGATGACTGAAAGGATACAATTGAAAAAAAACACCAACCTTCTTGCTGGAGTAGTGTGTTTTTTTTTTTAATTAGTTGTAGCTGTTGTAACTGCTTATGTGCTGCATCAGTTGCCTTTCCAAATGCTAAAACAATAATAGTGTCTTAATAGTTTCATTTATGTAGTTCTGGCAAGAAAGGGAAAAATGTTAAGGATGGAAAAATTGAAGAATTTTTTTATTCTTGTAGGCCTATCATGGCCATCATCAAGCTCTGGAAGTGCTGGTACAGTCACTGCTGGACCTTGATGTGAGGAATAACAATGGAAGGACACCACTGGATCTTGCTGCCTTTAAGGGACACGTGGAATGTGTAGATGTGCTCATTAATCAGGGAGCATCAATCTTGGTGAAAGATTATGTTGTAAAGAGGACCCCAATTCATGCTGCAGGTATGTGCTGGCCACTAACCTGTAAAATTTTGGCTTTTGAAGTGGATCATCTCTTTAAAACTCTGTCATTCATGTTTTAGGAAACAATGTTTAGGAATAGGGGATGGCATCTAAGGTATTTGCTGTGCTGAGAAAGGTGTATCAAAAGAGTTGCAGACAGGAAGCAGTATTAATCCAACAAACCAGTTGAGTCCAAGCACTGCTGTTCCACACTTCCCTCTGGAAGGGTGCATTGTCCTTGTCCATTCGATGGCTGGGCTAGCTGTGCTGGCAGGTGTCAGTGACATGTCCCTGCTTCTCTCCGTGTCCTTCACACAGCCTGAAATGCTGGCCCAAATTTAGATAGGCAAATTGTGTGCCTGTCTTGGCAGTAAAATACTTCTAAAAATTACTGGAGTCTTGGAGAATTTTGGCAGCTTGAGAAGAGATACGAAAACTTACTTTGATTTTTTTCCAAGGATTTAAATGACTCCTGAGCATTTTCAAAATAACAGCAATCCTTTGCAGTATTTTCTTGCTGTTCTCTGAGTCTAGAATCCATACTATAGTCTTTTTTTTTTCCTCACATTGAAAATAGGCTGATTAAATTTGGCATTTATAGTAATGGTGTTACAGAAGTGTTGCAGTTAAAAAAAGCATTATGTACAAAACATCATCATTCTAACCACTTAATTTGTTGTCCATGAGCACAAGCTGCATTCTTCTATTTGATTTAGCTTTCCTAACTTGTGTTAGCACGTCTGTCAGCTACAGAAACATGAATTGTCGCTGTGCTTGTGTGGACTGAATACTGCAGCTGTGGGTCAGAAATAATTTCCCTTCCAAGAAGTAATCATTTATCTTTCATGAGTTGCATTTAAATGAGATTTCTCAACTTTCTGTTTGTTCTTTTCCTATTTTTTTAAACTGCTTGGTTTATTGCATCTATGCATTACATTCCCTTCCCCTTTCTAAATGTGATTTCCATTATTATTTTATAACCATGCACATGCGATACTTGCTGACAAAATCTGACTATGATTTGCTAGGTATGTCTTTACCTGTGCCTTAAAACAAGATACAACAAAACCAAAAATTATGCTAATTCCTCTATTTAAATGTTCCTTATTTGTTGTGTTTTATAAGCATATATTCAAATTACTTTTAATATGTGCAACCTCATTTATGTGTAAAAAGCAAATATCTGTTGGCAACTGATAGTTGGAATCAGCTGCTTCTAACACTGTACAGTTGAAAATACCTGAATTCTAAAATTATTTATTCTAGTGTTCATATTTTAAGTTGTAACAATGGTAAAGCTGTACAGTGGGTTTTAAGCTAATGGGCTTTAGTCTGAGCTGGCTGCCATTCTGTTTGAGTTATCTACTCAAAAACAATTAATGTAAACCCCATATTTTTGTAATGTTTTACAGCTACAAATGGTCATTCAGAATGTTTGCGGCTGTTGATAGGAAATGCAGAACCACAGAATGCGGTGGACATTCAAGACGGAAATGGACAGTGAGTTTAAATTATGGACATTCTGTTCTTCACAAATTGTTGCATTTTATAAAAAAAACCCCAAATATTTTACAGTGGTTATTTTTAGCTTATTTTAAAAGGGCATTATATTTGAATTTGGACAAATATGACTGTATATATTGCAATAAATACGAAGTTTGGGGTAAAAAGTGTTCTTGTTCTATTGGGAGGAAGCTAAAATGTGTCTTACTGCCCAGATGCTGAGAAAATGGATTTGAGTTACTTAATCAGGACTTCCAAATTGAGGGATGTTAATTTATTTTCTTGAATTTAAAAAGCAAATAAATGAGTGGAAGGTCATTGATGATGTAAATGTTAACAGTGTTGACTGGAAGGATAGCAGTTGTTATACTTGAGCTGATTGCTAGTCTGTTAAATGTCCAAGTGTAAATTTCCATGTTATTTCTGTCTCTGCCTAGGACTCCTCTGATGTTGTCAGTTCTCAATGGGCACACTGACTGCGTTTATTCACTCCTTAACAAAGGAGCAAATGTAGATGCCAAAGATAAGTGGGGAAGGACAGCATTACACAGAGGGGTAAGCAAATATTTCCCTTTCCAGTTTCCAACATGCTAATTTCAAATAAAGATTTCATATGTAGTGTTAATTTATTTCTCGTTATTCTCATCTTGCCACTGTAATTTTTAATTATATTTTTAGTTGCATTCAAAAGTTGGCTTTTGCCTTTTTACTGCCCACCCTCAAAATTCTTTTGGACTTCCAGAGCCTCTTAATCTTGCCTGCAAAGTGTTGACCAGCAAGGTCCTAGAGTACAGCTTTTTGTTGGGGGGAGGTAGTGTTAACGAGAGGAAGAAAAGCATGATGCATACCACGTGCCAAATATTTTGTTTGTAGTGTCTGCCAGATAAGACAATTGAATGAACCCTAGAGATTAGCAGTTCATTAGTGTTACTCCAAGAAAATATTCTGTCATCAGTATCATAATATATTTTTCCAACAGAATGTCTCATTTCAGGGAAAAAACAAACCACAGCTTATTTTGCTTGTTTTGTTATGGCTTAAAAATACAAGAATTTGCCTGAGGTTTGCTTGCTTTAATTCTACACCTTAGCTGATACACATGAATATTTTCAAACTGGCCCTTTCCCTTTCCTCTCACAGGCAGTTACTGGGCATGAGGAATGTGTGGAAGCTTTGCTTCAACATGGTGCTAAGTCCTTACTACGAGACTGTAGGGGACGGACCCCTATCCACTTGTCAGCTGCGTGTGGCCATATAGGTGTTCTGGGAGCTCTCCTGCAGTCAGCTAGCTCTGTGGATGCAGCACCTGCAATGGCAGACAATCACGGCTATACATCACTGCACTGGGCCTGCTATAATGGTAAAATGCATTAAAATACATTAAAATGCATTAAAATACAGCTCTAAATCTGTTTATTGATATGGGGGTAGAAGTATCAATGTTTACAAAAGCAATATGTAAAGCCCATCCTCTTACAGTTCATTTCAGTGAGTGAGAGAATACAACAGACACAATATCTTGAAGAAGAATGTATTAACATCTAATACATAATAAGAAACATTTACTTCTGTCCTACATTTTTGTCATATACTATCTTAGTTTTATGCCTCAAGGAGTCTTTAAAGAAATTCAGCACATTACCTTTGAATAGAAATGTGCTGCACATTCCAAAAAAACAACCTTCATAGGAAGGAATGGTTTCAGATTAAATCTGTTTTTAAATTTGCTTCATATGAACTATTGTAGGCATAAGAAACTCAAGTATATAAAAGTGATTCAATAAGAATTTATTTTTTTCTTCACTGATACTTTTCATGGATTTGAGAGTGAGGGAGGCCTTAAAAGGTAGGAAAATCATTCAGCTCCTTTGCTAAACATTTTGTTCCGTGCGTTTATTTAGAACATAGTAGAGTTTGTCATTTATTTCATGTCTGAGTGACATGATAGAGAAAAATCAAGAGGTAGGATTAGACCTTCATTTTACCTATTACTATTAAGTGAATATCTGCTGAGCTAATGCAGCTGGGTGATCATTTCAACCAAAGTAACATCTCTTTATCATATTTATAAAATTAAACTCTTTCAGCTTGGTCCATTTTCAGTGACCGCAATGTATGAGTGAAACAGAATTGAGATACGCTTTTTTGGTAGGATGAAAACTTGACAGAACTTGTGAAAATTCAGATCTTTAGCCAACAGTGAACATTAAACTAATGTTCTCTTCATATATGCATTAAGGATCAAACAAATGGTTACCATTCTTAGCTACCTGTCCAGCAGCAGGGTAAAGAATTCTGAAAATATTAGTATAAAGGGTTGAACATGTCCTTTTTAGGATTTTGTTATGACTATTAAGTTGGTTCTTCTTTGTGTTTAGCAAGACAATGGAACAAAAGCCTCAAATGGTGGAGTCGTTTTTATGTAAAGTGGTGAATGTACAGAAAAGTTTGAAATGCAGAGGTGTAAAAAATTAAATTAAGCGTTCTGAGAGCATGAGAGACCTAAATTTCATTAAGTTTGCAGTGTTACATGTCAGTTTGATTTTCAGGATTCTGCAAATGTATTGGTTCCTAAATGTAGCCCTGTTGAATATAATCAGTCTTTCTTTGAAACTTTGAAATACTGTACTGCTTAATCTAATTTAGAGTCATATTTTTCATTGTAAGCCATAGTTAGACTTTTTCCTTCTTTTCAATACCTAACTCTTATATTTGCTTTAGGTCACGACAGTTGTGTAGAGCTGCTCCTGGAACAGGAAGTTTTTCAGAAAATGGGAGGAAATTCTTTCAGTCCCTTGCATTGTGCTGTGTAAGGAAGTTCAAAATTATTCTTCATAAATTTCATTGCTGTGTTTAACAAAAGATTTATCATTCTGTAAATAACAGTCTGTTTAATTCATTATAGGATAAATGACAATGAAGGTGCTGCAGAAATGTTAATTGATACGCTAGGTGCTGGCATTGTAAATTCAATGGACTCAAAAGGAAGGTAAGAGTGTAAATGCAGAAAGAATGTTTGTAATGTCATACAGTGGCTGTGCTAAATTCTTCAGTCATTTGGGGGTTTTGTATGTGCTACTTACATTAATATCTCATTCCTCTGGTCTTATTCTTTAAAGGGTTTTTTTTTTTTATTCTGTGCTAGAAATAAATTTTAGATTATAAAAATCCTATTCTGATTCAGTAAACTTGAATTGGCTTTTTATTACACAGGCAAGTTAGAGCATGTTTTAAACTTTATCACTTTGTGGATAGAGTTTTATGCATCTTTTCTTTTTTGAAATCAAATTTTATCTCTTGCAAACTATGTGGGTGGAGTTACTTGAAACTAGAAACAGACTACTTAAAGGCAGCAGTCACAACTCTAGCAATACCAATTGCAAAGGATCAGTAGGAGAGACTGCCCAGTTTTTTGTATTTTTAGGATCACAGCCAGAGAAGCCCCTTTGAATAGTAGAAAGCATGGCTGAACATGGCCATATTGTCTTTTGATCTGTTGTAGAACTCCTCTGCATGCAGCAGCTTTTACAGATCACGTTGAGTGTCTACAGCTTCTGCTTGGTCACAGTGCTCAAGTAAATGCTGTAGATTCTTCTGGGAAAACACCTTTAATGATGGCTGCAGAAAATGGACAGACGAATACAGTTGGTAAAGAGAAAGCTTTATGTATTTCTGCTCTTAGCTTTGTTAATCTTACTATGGATGAATTAGCCTTATACTTAATGTTCTAGTGAATATATATTGTCCAAATTCTATTTTCACTTTGCACAAATGTAAGCTGTTTAGATTTTAAGAAATATGCTTCTAGTTAATGCGCGTCTTTGTCTCCCCAGAGGTGCTGGTTAGCAGTGCTAAGGCTGATCTGACTTTGCAAGACAGTTCTAAGAACACAGCACTCCATTTGGCTTGCAGCAAGGTGCGTGCATGGTCTGACTGATCAGTGCTGAGCTTTGTGTTATCAAGCACTGATTGAAAGWATTGTGCTTTGAAAAAACATTCAAAGCAATTTGTGAGGAATACTTGYGAAGTGACAGCTGTTTGTTCTGTGTTAAGGGTCATGAAACTAGTGCCTTGTTAATACTGGAGAAGATTACGGATAGAAACCTCATCAAYGCCACCAATGCAGCCTTGCAAACGTACGTATCAGCCATGAGGGTGTTGGAAAGATGAGTTCTTGGTCTGTATCTTGCTCATWAAGAGGAATATTTTTCAGAATTYTTTTTTCARATTCATTGAATTKTAACTGTTAATAGGTACCAAGAGTTGAACCAGCTTGGAATTGAAACAATGTTTTGCTCATATTTAAAATTATAGATTTTTTTTCCTAGTGGGTGAATAGGATGATAACTAAAAAAATCTGCCTGAAACGTGCTTTTATTCTTYGGCATGCTTTSTGTTTCATCTTTCAAAGATGAAAYRCTATTTTCTATTAAATATCATGGARAATACACTRTTYTTAAAACCTTCTTGAAGATCTTCTCTCAAGTAGAATCAAAGCTGTTTGGTTCTCCCAAACCCRAAGGAAACCTTAGAAATGTATGGCATGTCATACCAGTCAGGATGGGCTACTAAAATGACTGTTCTGCATATTTTCCTTTTAGAATACTTGACACCTGATGTATAGCTGAGTTATGCTCATGAATTATTAGACTGCTTTAGTAATGGTCTCAACAGTCCATTTAGGGGGAAAAAAGTTTAAAAAGCCCTTAAAGCCCTTACACTGGAACCTGTAAGCACATGTTATTCTGGCTTTACATTCTTTCTGGAATTTTGCCATATTAAAACTTGTGCAGTGCTTCCAAGTGTTCYCCAAGATCTGCTTGAGTTAAGGAGKTAAAACAGTAAAATTTCTTCCTTTGCTTTTGCTGCTCACCGTGGTGTACGTCAGGCAGCATGGAATAACCAGAAAGCAGGGAAGGATTGGTTGTTTCATTTCTGGCTTGAAGCAAGGATGTCTTGAGAGAAGGAAAAGCAAAAGTGAGATGGGAACAGATGTGGGAAAGTATGCTACCACAGGCTGGTGTAATTCCACCCACATGCCTTGGCTCRTATAATCTGATCAAGAGATGTCATGGGGAAAAATAGGTACACATTTGCACCTCCATGAAGTGTATTTATAAATTGCTATGTTTTGGTAGTTGTTTAAGATATTACTGCTTTAGCAAATGTTTAATAACTAAATTGATTTTCTGAGCAGTTTAAGTGCAGTCCTTCTTTGTGGCAAGATATGCGTTAAATTGTTGGTTTCTATATTAAAATTATTTTAATTACAGTACATTTTTCAGTATATCTGTGGGGTGTGGTAGTTCTTGAATTTTCAATACTTTAATGTAAGCACCATAGATAAAGCTGTTTGTATCTTTTGCATTTCTTATATCTAAGTAAGGCATTTGTTTCCAACTCAAAATATRGCTTATAGTTAATTGAAACAACTTYAGGAATCCTAGAATGAATGAAGAGCGATATAAAGCAGAAGGGAAGTAAGCTGATTATTCTGTTTCCTGTTGAGTGATGGTATGGTTTTATTTAAGCCAGTGGGAAGCAATTTKGAAAAACTGTTGCATTTGAAAAAGATATAATTAGAATATTTGAGATAAAGCTACACTTCCCTTTGTAGAGCAAATCAGCACAAAATTGATTTATATTTAGTAGTTTGAGGTTTTGAAAAGTAATCTGCTTTTCTTACTTYATGCATTATACTGTGAAATATTTTTTCATTTCTAATCACAGTGGAATATAGTGGTTTCTAGAAGGCAGATTGATGAAATGCTTCTGCATCTCTYCTAAGCATTTACATGCAGTACAAACAACTGCCATTCTACTGTTAGAACTCCAGTGACTGATGGCAGTGATATGCWCTAACTCTCAGATGTGACAGGATGTGTTACAACAGTTGAGTGGGGGATTTATCAGCAGTAGGGTGCCAAGTGTTTCTGAMTTTTTAACATGATAAAGTCCATAAACAGGCACATCTCTCCTAGTAGCTGCTTCCTSAGTGTGTGCTGCCATGGAAAGAAGAAAGTTCACAATTGGTATTGTAGAGTTTCGTTGCAATAAGGAAAGATATGCTGGATTTTCTTATCTTAGTCATTACRTCTACAAGATTTATATAATATGTAAATAACATAGAAGTATAAGGATTACATTTAAGTAGATGCAAGCTACCTATCTTACTTAATGACATGTTCTAAGGTTTATATATGAGTTTGCTTGTCTTCACAGACCTCTGCATGTTGCTGCTCGAAATGGACTAACGGTTGTAGTTCAAGAGCTTTTAGGGAAGGGAGCAAGTGTACTTGCTGTAGATGAAAATGGTAAGAAAAATCTAACTTTGTTTCCCTGTAAGGAACTGTGATTCTGAACTCAACTCCCTGAAAAGCAATAACTGTGGAAATTTCAGATGAGCCTTCCAGTAGGTTGCCCTCGCAGAAAAAAATGTGTTGGTGGTGGATCATTTTAGCAAAGCAGCAGCAGTGTAGGGAGAGTGAAAACTTTCAGAAGGATGCAGGTCACGGCACAGAAATGTTTGGTTTGCATTTGTAGTTTTATGACGCACTATAAATATAATTTTATGATATACCTATAAATGCACTAGCTTTGGCATACCAAAAATGGTCAGAAGAACATAATGCTCAAAGTAAAATACAACTTTCAGCTGCTAAGAAACTGGATGGAATTGCTATTCGCTTGGTCATGGTAGGTATATCAGTGTTAGCTTTTAAAAGCTAGTGTGATTTACAGCTCTTAGTTCCTGTTCTCAAGCTTCTGGCTCTTCAGAGATTTTTGGCATATAGAAGTAAGAAGAAGTAACTGCTTTATCATGAGAATAAATTCYGCACCTTGTAAGAACAAAAGAAAATTAGACCTACTGACTGATTTGCATATTTTCATGTAAGAAATCTGGTCCTCAGAAGCTTTTGAAAGTATAAGAGCTCTGTCTCTTATGCCATAAAAGCAGTAACTGGGATTTGGGGAGGGATGAKGGAATGATATTGGATTGTTTGCTTTTTGGCTTTGTTGGTTTGTTTGGGTTTGTTTTATTGCTTTGTATTCCRGAAGTGATGTGTCTAATTAATAGTTCTAATTATATTTCCAGTTTGGAAAGTTTTTCCTTTCTTAATGTTTACTGTGACTTTCTCTGTGTGTTTCTCAAATTACACAGCTGAAAGGGACATGGGTGACTTAAAGATCATTCCTTGCCTAAAATAGGGCACAAGAGTAAGTGCTAAAAGAAACTCCCTAAAATTAAAAGATTGGAAAATACATTYTATTTATGTTTCTATCACRTGTTTTCTGACTGGAGACATTCRCATTTTTGYRGGCTTCTCATGTGCAGCCAGCCAGTTCCTTGTTAGGATGGATCTTTGACATAACAGAGGAAAAACATTTGTGTCAAAGTACCCTGGCAGCCTGGGGATCTAAAAATCTTTTTAATTCTGATCTTTCCTCACTATGGTTCTTTCTAATAGCAATTGTTTTGTTTATAAAATTTTAAGCAGCCTTGAGAATATTCTCATTGAATTCTTTTTTTGACTGAAGAAATAAGCACTGGAATATTTTGGATCATAACACTGACATTCTCTTACTTTAGTATTGTCCAGATCAGTGATCTGCYACGCAAGCTTGGTATTTCATATAGAATTAGATGACATGGGAGTTCAGTTTYAGTTTTAGAAAGTTTTAATGTTTTACATGGAAGCCAGTCTTGATATGTAGAACATGTAAGCAGCAGGAACTYACCTGTTATGGAGTGATGATCAGCTTTTTGTCTTTGAAATTATCCCTTTCTGTRAAAGCTATATTGACTTTTTGCAAGCAGTCTCTATATCCATAGCTGTATAAATTGGGTCCTCTGCTGCTATTCCTGCTCTATGGATCATTATTGAAAAACATGAGCTTAGGAAAAAAAAGTATCACTCCAATTACCTTTCAGTTTATAAATAATTTACAAAATTTTCAAAACTAGATTTGAAGTCACACGGTTTTTGTTACAGAGCATCTCTTAATGTGATGAGGTCACTTTTTTGTTTAAGAGCTAATGTCAGTAGAAAAAATTTAATCCTCTTGGTTCTTAACAGATTAAATGCAGCTTAAACRTAAATTAGCTGTCCAGTATAATTCCCAAAAGTAGTTATATTGAGGGTCCATTCTCAGTTTGTATCAGTTCTTATTCAAATTTTGGTTCTTTTCTCATGTTTTCACACCAGTCATGATAAAATTGCCATCTACTACCTGCATCTATGAAAATTCTGTTGAAGCGGACTTTATTAATGTAAATTTGCCTGTCTTTAAAGTAATTGCTARCTTTTTCTTTCATTTGACACCATATGAAATTTTATTGTTGTCACTCAACCAACCAACTTTTCATTTTTTGTTTTATTTTGCAGTGGGTTTTTCCTTTCTCTCACTATTTAACTTGTATTTTGGTTTTATATTTGAGATCTCCAGTTTACTGGAAGGAATTTTTCTGTAGGTGCTTACAGGATAACTTGTACCTCAGATTCCCATCTCTTTCCTAGTGTTAACACTTCATTCAGTTGATCTTGAGAGCTCTCATTGCACTGACCYCATTAATAACCCTCTGATTTTCCTGTAGACATCTTCCTGGAAACTTTCAAGCCCCGGGGAGGGAGCAGCTCTGCAGAGCAGGGGGAGCCTCAATCTTAAAATAGTGTCCATTATACAGACTCTGTTTTTTATTGTTCAAGGAGGCTGCCCCATCTTACTCTGTTTGTATTGCCCCATCTACAAATGAAGATAGGGATTTTGTTATTGTTGTTGTGCAAAGGTTTATGCAGGTACCAGGGCAGATTATGGGGACAATTATGGGAGAGATGAGTGTGGGTATTTCAGTGGAGTTAGTTCATTTACCAACGTCATCCTCAAAGGAAATAGAAAGTATATCTGTTGTTTCCCTGACATACCAATTAACACTCTGCAGTTAAGTGATGTAAAAATATAATTTGTTCTTACAAGTTTAAATTAATATAGTGGAGTTAATATAAGTTAATATGGTGGGGGACACATGTCAGTTTTCCATGATGTAAGCAGTTACGTCTTGTTATGTCTAAGGCAAGAATAAAACTGGTATTTCATTTGTGTTTATGAAAGCCAGGAGCTCGAGAGCTACAATTATATAGTAATTATAAAACACTGGTTTTAGAGAACAGAGAACTTCCAACAGAGGCAATTATTTTGTTTAATCCTTCCATTGGCCTGTTTTATGATGAATGCTCTGGGATGCTCTGTTTCAGAAAGAACATGAATATTCAAGACCTTAGAAGTTTTTTTAAAGGGGGAGGGGGAAAGGGGGTAAACAAACAAACAAAACCCCTAAAAATAGTAGGTGAACTGCTTGTATTTCTTCTTTGAACTTTCATCAAGTCACMTTAGTGAAAGGAATGGTGTTGAATATGATCAGCTTGAATAAACTTATTTTGTGTGTCATCTTACCTTCGTACAACCTCCAGCAACTGTAGATATTGAATGGTGTGCATCTGAGTATCAGTTCTGAGCCTTCTGTTCTGCCTTACATGCCTGAAATGCAGTCATGATCCAGGTGTGGCGAGCTCTGGCCCTTGCTTCTGAATCCTCTCAAAATGTATCTCTTCTGCAGACTGTCACTGTTAACTCTGAGCTGTTTAAGTGCTGTGGTACCTTACTAACAATGAAAACATCCGCTGCGCTGCACTTCTGTACGGCCCTATCGCATGGTCAGCTGGTGCGTTCTGTGCTTGAATTATCTGTGTTTCCTTGGATTGTGTGCTCCTTTGGGCAGGGACTCTTGTCTTGCTCAGTTCAAAGCATCAAGCACTAGGTCAGGTCTGCCCTGAGCAAATAATAGTTCAACTGCAAGACTGTCCCCTGCTTGCTGTTTTCTTAATTTCTAGCTACAGTTATTTTCCATAATGTGCTTACTGGTTTAATACTTATGTGCAATTGTACAAGATAGTAACTGCTCCTGGCCTCTACCCTAAAACTTGATCTGGACCTACTTCTACAATAAAGATAATTCCTTAGTAGTTGAAACATTTGCTGGTAGAATGGGCATTGCCTTGTTTTACCTGCCCTCCTAAGATTTGGATAGAAGCTATCGTGCACTTTGCCTTAAAGCCATCTRTTATTTACAATTACTTGTGTGCTTTTTACTTGGACTTTGTAGACCTTTAAGTTGTGGACTGAGGGTACTGCAGTACTTCAGACTCCCAAATGTGCCTGAATATGAGTCTTCCTACTGWGCTCATTGTGGGCATTTCAGTCCCACACAATGAGAGATGCTGCAGGGTGACATGTGCACACGCTGCTGGGTGGAGCCAGGGAGGGGAACTTGTCCTGCTCTTGGCAGCAGAATTAGCTGTGATCTGTGGTTGTACTGAGGAGACTGCCCTGATTTTGGAGCTGCCAGTAGCACCTCCAAATGCAGTCCCTTGCTGCTGTAGATGCACCAAGGCCTGTGCCAGAACTCACCCTCAAGCACCATGCAAATTGTTAAGTCTGAGACAGGAGCAGTGCATGGATCTCCACTGAGGAGAATTCGAAGCATTCTTCCTGGTACTGAATGAGAGAGTCAAGTACCTAGAGAAGGGAAAGCTGCAGAAGGAAGAATGTTGGAGGATTATTAGAGCCACAGAAACCCAGAAGAGATGTCACAGCTACGTGACCTGACTGCAAATCATTCCACAGCCCGAGACCTCCTGCATTTTGGGGTTGTCACAGCAGCARTGCCTGGCAGCAGTTTGGCTAGACCAGCTGGGCAACCAAGAGCTGTCTCTGCAAGTCCTAGCCTGCTAACTTAGCTGGCATTTCCTCAAACCTGTCTGCATTTTTGATTGATACTCTGCAAATAGAAGTATAGAGGCATTGACTTTATATTATTGAATATTGTCATAAAGTGTAAGTTAATTGAAATTTATACCCTGCCTTTTCAATTAAGTGGCCCTGATCCTTAGGCAGCTTGTTACTGACATAGCTCAGTGTTATTAAAGTAACTGTGTGTGATGAACAGCTGTGGTGCAGCTTCTGGATGAAGGAACATTTGACACGTTGAGCTGTAGTTTCTGCAGTGGCTCTTTAGTGAATGCCATCACCTGTCACTGTTGGCTGCTGGTAGTTGTCTCTCCTCAGCCCGGTGACTTCCTCACCATTGTCAGGTCTGGGCTTTACTTGTTGGCCTACAGTGTCTGGCTGTGCTTAACAAAAAAGCAATTACATCTTTGTGGCAAAGCCCATTAACTTCAAGATTGTTTCTGTAACCAAAAGTTTAAAAATACTAATTTACAATGCATTTATTTAATTATTTTATTTTTTAAACAGTGCGGAACTAAGCAGCGTAAAATACTTTTTTATTTTAGCTGCTGAAAGATTGTATGATCTTTCATGGTCTTTATTTTAAATGAAGGTTTTTYTCCTCTCGATCTCTAGGTTACACGCCAGCTTTGGCCTGCGCACCCAACAAGGATGTGGCCGATTGCCTGGCTCTCATCCTGGCCACCATGATGCCTGTTTCATCGAGCAGCACATTGCCCTCGCTCACCTTCAATGCCATTAATCATTACACCAACACCTCAAAAACTGTCACCTTCGATTCCTTGCCAATCATGAGGAGTGACCACAGCTCCTACTGTACTTTCAACAACATTGGCAGGGAAGGTGGCTACCCCTACACAGAAGAAGATGAGCTCAATGACTCAGATTCCGAGACCTATTAGAAGACACTTTTTGTAGGTCTGAGTGAACCCTCACGCTGGAAGGTCAAACTTGTGCTATCAGAAAGCTGTTTAATACAGGAAGAGGACACACCTTTGAGAAGATGTTTTTTTATTGTGGTTGCATATAAAAAAAAAATCTGTGAGACTCTAGGAAGATTTTTAAGAGCATATTTTGCAGAAGAAGCATAAATTCTTGAATAAGTACTTGGAATCCGTGGCAAAAAAAAAAAAATAAAGAATGTCAAAACTGTTTTATTTAACTGTATTCTACCATTCTGTTTCTGGTGCCGGGAATAATTCCTGCAGACTGGGCACCAACTTGGTGTAAATGAACAACACTATTGTACAACACAAAGGATGCTAGATTCAAATACTCTCAATAAACCTAAAACCATTTTGAAGGCAATAAATGAGTTTGGTACAGTAGGCATTGTTTGTGCTGCAAATTGCCAAAGGACCAAATAACTTAAAGATTTTTTTAATTAAATACGTTTTTGTGAAAACTGGAATAGGTTATTTGAGAAGTTACTTCAACCAAACCTTAATTACTTCTGGAAAAGAAGCTTAGATTTGGGTTTAAATGTTTAATTTTATTTTTTTTAATCATCTGAAAGCCTTCCGACACTATTAAATGTACCATGAAAGAAAGCAGATGTACTTTTAAGTTTTATTTTCTTTTTCTTTTAGGTGAAATGAAAATGATCTGTCATACTTTTATAATACTAAAATTAAACCAGCTAACAAGGTGAAGTCAGGGTGAAAAATGTACAGTGTAATAAACAAGGGAAGGAAGGGGTGGGAGATGTGGGAGGGAACAGGTAATTGTTGCACAGTTACAGATTTTTTTTTTAACTTTGGGTTCTGGATTGAATTTTTCTTAATTTAAAAATACACGAGTAACTTGGAAACTATGAAACTGCATAAAAAAAATGGAATTGAAATGTCTTGATAACCCTGTTGTGACTGAGAGTTCTTTTCAGTAATTTATCTACTTCCTTACATCATAAATTTGTATGTAAGACTAAAGTTGTATATCCCTGTCACCTTTTTTTTTTAAACCCCAGATTTACAGAGGGGGGAGGGAGGATGGGAGTGAATTTAAAAGTATATTTCCCTATTAGAGAAAAAAGTACAGTGTCTGGTCCGTGGGAAGAGCTGTGTATCTTTGTTGTGCTCCATTTAGAAAATAAACAGCAGAAACTGGTCCCTGTAATGTAGTTCAGACTTGCCCAAATATTTTTTTTAATTTATAACAGACTACTATGGTTTTTTTAATTGCCTGAAGAATGAAAAACTGACATACATAAGTAAGCTGAAGTTTTGTCTGTTAAATATAAATTTACTTTATTTGGCTCTGCTTTAACAATAACTGTTACTTTTCAAGTGAACTTGTTTATGTACATGCAAGGAATTCCTTGCGTGTCCTCGCAAAGTACAAATAAATTACTACAAACTGATTCCAATTTCATTTTTATCCTTTTTTTGTATTGTGAAACTGGAAATCTTTGATATTGTAAATTAACAGCTGCTTTTCTGAACATAGTGTGGAAACATGGGACAATATTTTGATCTATTTGATAATTTTGTGGGGTTTTTGAAGAATTAATAAGCATGTACATAGAAATAGTGACTGCTTGAATACTGTATTTACCTGCACTCTTTCAGTACTTCAAGATTCCTGTATATTTTACAGAGTATAATAAAACCCAAATGTGAGTTCTACTAATGAATATTTTATTTGTATGTACTAAGAATTAATGACAAAGTTTCTTGTCRAACTGTTGGAATTTATAAAATCTTCACAAAGGCTTTGCCAGCATTTTAATTCTAAAATTAAGGTGAGGTACTTAAAGTAATTTTAAATGTTACATTACTTCATTATTCCTTTAGGCTTCCTTATAAATATTGCTYTCTTAAGATTTGTGCCTGTGTTCATTGTTTACCTGTGAGCAGAGTTAGAAATCACGACCTCCCTGAAGTTCTCTGTGCTTTCTTCCCTCTGAATCTCTCACATGTGGCTCTGTGGGAGTGATGTTTGTGCCTCAGCCGGGCACACAAGGCAGCACTCACAAGATCCACCTGACCTGTCTTGGGATTCACTGCAACCATTTAAATTCAAAGGCTGAAGCGACATGGACCCATTTTTTTCCTCAAATGCTTGTGGGAAACCCGATGAGAACGCCAAGTCATGTGTGTTATTTAAAAGGTAACAGCTGTATGTTTCTGTTCATGAAACTCAGTGATGTTGATTYAAAAGCACTGTGAAAGGATGATATTAATAGGATTTATTACCTATGCTGACCTATGTCTATGACCGGTTATCTCTGTGTGGTGTCGGTGGCCATAAGGCACAGATTATAGCCAGGGACACTCCTGTCTTCCTGGAAAAATTGCAGTGCAGTAGAGGCTGAGCTGTTCATGTCCACTGTGCGCCTGGGTGACAGAGGAGGAAAAGCTCAGATGGCGCTGGTTTGTTTACTAGTTAAAGATTTGGATATGGAATATGGGGACATGCAGAAAACAGTGCAGTTTAACATGTTTTGTTTCTTCATGTCAATCAGAAATTCTGCCTTTCTTTCATTTGATTGCTACTCACCTCTTGAGGAAGAAAAGTTTCTTACAGCATTAAATTGCATTATTTTAAGTTAGGTTTCATGAACTTTTCTGAGCTAAATATCTGTCTTTTCTAATTATGAAGTCCATTTAGGAATTCAGAATTGACCTGATTTGTGTATCTCACCTGTCTCATCATTTCAGGTTACTCAGTGAGCCTGTACATTGCAATTTATATCTATTTGTTAAAAAAAAAAATATCAAAGCTGTATTACTAGTTGGCTGTACRGGTAGGACAGTAATTGTGCCTTGTAAGTGATAATTGAGACTCTTACTGTAATATGGTCTAATTTCAAAAATGGAATGGGGTTTATTTAAAAGCCATGCTACTGTGCTCAGAGACCACTTCCTTAATGAGAGGTCAAGGAAAGCAGGTTCCTTGTTTCTGAAAAGCAAATAATGGTGGCTGGTGGGGKTTTTTAAAAAAATGTTCATATCTCAGTTGGAGGCCTGTTAATTTCCAGAAAATTATGTTGGAACCTCTATTTTTTTTAAAGAAATCCAGATTTTCTACAGATGAATATGGCACAGTTATTCTTACAGCCTTCATCCAAACAATCTCTCGGATTTTCACCAAGGGAGAGCAGTGAGCCTTGGCTGGACTACTGAAGCAATRTATTAGAATAAAAGAAACCCTTTTTGTCATGGGGAGAAAAAAATCAAATGGACWTAGGGAATGAGGACAGCTGGCTCTGCTCAGCTTTCTGTGTACTTTGACTTCTGGAATGTTTTATGGGTTTTCCATTCTCAGGATAAATGTGCAGGAGAGAGAAAATGCCAAGTCAGTATTAACCTCATAGGTTGAACTGTTACTTTTGGAGTGTCATGTTGCAGGATAAATGCTGGATGCTGATCAGATGAAGATTCAGTCTGTCTCCCCCTAAGAGTGACCCTACTGCAATCAAGGAGATTTTTCTTGTAATTCCTTACAAAATCTTTACTTCTGTGTCCTGCTTTGTATTTCCTCCTGTAACTTTTATTGCCATCCCATGCTTAGATGTCTCCAGAACAGTCATATATTTATATGTGGAACAGTCAGAGCTTTTATTATAGGCACTTTTTAAACTTAGATTGGCTGCAATTGTTTGGGGTTTTTTTTCTGGTCCTTTATTTTGTTTAAAATTCTGATTGTCTGTGTTCTGGTTTTGGCTACCAGGCTAAAGAATTAACAAATTTCTTGTCTAAAAAAAAGTTAATATGTAAAAATCAATACTTCAAAGTTTTGCTCCTTTTAAACTCTACACAGATGTTAAAAGGAGCACTAAAGAGCTCAAAGCTGTTACCTAAACTGTAGGGAGGATGATAAAAAAGGAGTGTGAGATGATGTTTACAGATTCTCCAACCCAATTAATTCTGGTTTTGAGAGGAATTAGCCTTCCTGTCTTGCCCAGAGATTATGTTCATTCAAAGACAACAGCTACTATAGTAATCCAGAATAACATGTTCTATTTATATCTACTTTACAAAAAAAAAATAAAGAGAATGTTCATTAAATGCAGTTAGTTGGGAATAACACAAGTGTTTGGGTAACKCAGCAGCTCTTTCGCAAAAAATAAAGTGACCTTTCTGTTGTTGATCCTGCAGTAACTGGGTGAGCAGATCTGTATGTAGAGAGTTGGGAAGTGACAGTGAGTACTGCCCAAAGAACTGGTTAGCATTTATTTGTGAGAAGTTTGTCACGATCAGGGAATGTTTTTAACACTGCTGGATGTCTGCAGGGAGCCCATACTACTCAATTCCATGTTTGGGTCAGTGCAGTTCACATTTTAAAAAACTGAAACCTAAATAGAAATGCTAAGTGTTTATGGAAACAGCAGTTTTGGAGAACTGGAGGTCATCCTCTTTGGCTCTGTGTACCAGAGGGCAAGTGAAGGCAGCTCCCTGGTCTTCCCTGGCTGCAGCTGCAGAAGCAACTGGAGGATTTTCCTCATGTCCCACAACTCGGCACTGAGCCTCTGCCGATGGTACATATCCACAAAAGAAATGCCATCACACTTGGGTTAAAAAGCACTGCCTCCTGCTGACAGTAATTTCTGATCATCCAGTCCTGTTGCAATCAGACTAAGAGAGAGAAGGGCCTTTATTAATCTCCTAATAAGCAGTTTAAACTTTTAATGCAACTTCCATAGGTCAGAATTTAAACTTGGCAAAATTGTTATTAATAGCAYGTAAAATTAAGTATTTAAATTCTTAAAGTTGGTCAAGACAATTCATACAAATCCTTAAATCCAAGATTGGTAGTTATTGCATTTTGCAGTAATCTCAGTAATTTGTGATGATTTCCTTGTAATCYTCTTTAATACACTGCAGAAGCTGGCAGGACAGTTGGAGAAGAATTCTGATTGCGATGGAAAACATTTTTATATATAAATGTGTAGCTGTGACTGAATTGGACAAGACAAGAATTCATAAAAYGTGGGTCTCCAAACTTTACAAACTGAAACCTGAGGTGTTAAATGCTTTCAGGAATGGTGTGATTCTTGGTGTGATCATGTGCAGGGCCAGGAGTTGGACTTCAATGATCTTTGTGGGTTCTTTCCAGTCATATTCTATGAAATGAGAAGAGACACAGCACAGGCCTCTTTGTTAGCTGATAGTATTGGCTTTTTTGCTTTTTCTGGAGTCCTTTTCTCACTGTAATAGCCATATGTTTTCAAATGTAAAGTGCGAAGGTGTTACTGTGCATTAATTTTAAATGATGAAACAATATTGTTTCTTAAGAAGCTATCCTGTTATTGTATTTAAGAGAATCTATAAGCCTTACCACAAAAATCCCTTCATTTTGGGGGATTAACAGGAGAAGGAAGTGCCTCACTGGACATTATGAATGTCACCCAGGCCCCCAGCCTGATCTGTGTTCCCTCAAAGACCTAYGGTGAGAAAAACTGTCTGAAATGGCAGGAAAGAGCATTTTGTTCMGATGTTCAGCCATTTAGAGCCCAGCAAGATCACAAGAATGTTTGGTTTCCTTTCTCTGGGGAAGATTARTTTCAGATGTGACTAAAATTTTCAAGTTCTAGAGCTCATCTCAACGGAATGTTCCTGACAGGGGAAAAAGGGTGCCCCTGCTCTGAGGATTTGAAGGTTTCTTGCAACYCTTTCCAGCCTGGTGTCCCAGTCTCTTTAGCACCCTATTTGTCTTCAAATAAAGCAGTATTTAAATTATCCATGCTTCCCTGGTGTGATATGTGKTGTTTTACATTAGGATAAATTGAGCTCTCTGCATTCCATGCTCTTTGGCAATTTTCAGRCTGAGGTTGAGAAAGAGATCTTGCAGTTTTTCCCCATGTAACTGTAAACATAGTTGAAGAAYAGAGAACCTAAAGAGCCTTTCAAGCTGTCTTCACATTGATGGTGTCATTAAATATTTAAAGAGGAAAAAAACACCTTGCATTCTTCCTTTTTTAATTAAAATTGCAATAGATGTAGCCAGAACTCTTGCTGTTCAGGTTTGCAACAGAACAAAACAAAACCTGCTYTCAGGGCTTGTCAAAGGACAAACATGCAGGTTTTCTCTTAAGTGTACCTTTCAGACTTAGTTCTGAAAGCTTAAGGCTGAAGTCTCAGTGTTCTCTTACATTAAAAAAATAGATAGCTTAAATAGTTTAAAAATAAAATCTAGTGATTCATGTATCCTCTCATGTATTTTCTGTCCCTTGCCAAACTGTTACTCAAGCTGTCTGCACAATTTTCTTAAAATCTTTAAAATCTTCCTAATCTATTAAAGCCTTAAAGAATTCAACCTTCCTTATCTCTTCTACCAAGAGTTTGTTTCTTCTGCTGTGAGTCCCAGTATTGTCTCTGATTTCTGACCTGTGTTGCCTACACCAGCTCTCCCAGGGCAGGGAGAAAGGAGAGTTTAGTGACTCTCTCAAGTATTTCCATTGCTGTTGATTATTAAAAACTTGATGGGATGATAACTCAGTTCAGCCTGTGAATATTTGGGGGGTTCATTTYGCTGGTAGAGATCTGCATAAAGGAGCTTTTGCCCAGTCAGGTATTGTGAAGGTCTCTGCAGATTTTACAATGTGTCTCCAGTTCCTCAGCCTCTTCACATGCCTCTTGATAGCTTAACTCCTAGTTCCTCTTTTTCAGCTGTTCCTTTGATGTGCTTTCTGGTGTTTCTGTCATTGTGAGGAGAATATCCCCACATTCACCTGGAAGAATCACTCTGAATCCTGAAACAGCAGATCCCTTATGAGGAACCTCCCAACCTCTTCTGACTCCTGTGCTGTTATCCGGACCTGGACAATTTCTGTGGTTGTCTTTCCCTTCCCAGGAGCAGTGTCAAGGCCCCTTAAAGACATCACTCCCTGCTGTCTCAGAGAGGACATTTCTTTGGTGTCAGTACAAATTCCTGATTTCAATTTGGTCACAGACCAAGTTGTTCAAAGCTTCTCTAGATTTCAGTGGTACTTCCCGTATGTCAAAAAATCCTTCTGTCCTGTTTTGTTTTTTTCCCAATCTCAGACAGGAATTGCTCAGGAAGCTTTAATAAACCTGTTCATATCCATTAGGTGATAGGCTGCATTACAGTGTGTTACCAGTGTGAATGGCAGCCTTGCTGAAGGCCTCTCACACCTCCTCAGTACATGGTAAGTAGCTTCACTCAYGAGAGTGCAGGATTGTTTGGGATCAGGGCAGTGCTGGGATTGTGCTCCTGCACACATTTCCAAAAGCCATCGATGTGTGGTGGTATCAGAGGTCACTGCCTGTCCCTGTGTGTCAGAAGAGGTACACCTGTTGTTACTCAAAGATCGGGGTGGGAGGGAGGAGTACTGGTACTGTACACAGTACTGGTAATGTACTGTGTCCAGTTCTGCCTGYTCAACCCTTCCCAGTGTCTCTTGCTAAAGGCGGCTGTTCTGGGTGAAGGGAACAAGGTGTGAGAATGCACTCAAATACTGAATGCCTGCTCTTCTCAGGGAGGAGACAGAGGAATGTACCTCATGCAAACTCCAGTAAGGCTAGAAGGTCTTGAGGTCTTGTTCTAACAACTTAAGCTCAACCATAGCTAGAATACTTCTTTGGGCCACATTTTGCAAGTATTTCACAGGTAAACACTTATTTCCTTAGGCTTAGCAAGTATGTGTAATGCTATTTAGGTGTCTAGCCTAACCTATTGTAGTAATGGTCTGCTTTGGAACTAAATCCCAAAGAGTATTTTAGTCCACGAAGCTGCATGTTTTTCATCCTAAAAAGTGCAGGGTCCTGAGAGCTGGAATCTCCAGTTGTTCATTGCTCCATTTTGTGGTAGTAGAAGCAGAAGCATCAACAAGAATTGTAAATGCTTTTCTGTTCTACCCTGTACATCCTGAAATGGTGCAGCATTCAGCAAGAACATGGTATGGGTGCCAAAGAATTAATAATCTTTAATAACCCTGTGGAGGAATGGCCTACTTTTATAGCAGCAAGTTTATGCCTAATGAGATACAGACATTCCCTCTCCGTATTTCTGTCCAATGTATGCTGCAGAATAAACCTGGTGTGCTGCTCTATCAAAGTGCTGTTTGACAAGGGCCTGACTCACAGTGATACAGACTGGAGAAAGAAGTTTTGATAGAGCCCAAGGCTTCCATAATTATACACTAATTCTGTGTAAATACCTAAGAAACCSTAAGGTATATATTCAGCAATGTTTTGGTTGTTTTGCTTTCTGAAACCAGAAAGTGAGTTCATTCAAAGGAGGAGCTGATTGAGCACCTCTCAGGACACATCCTTGTACCTGTACTGGTTTGAGTTTGAACCAACTCAGACCACAAAACAGAGGGAGTCCCAGCTCTCCTGTCTCCTGTGCTCTGCTCCTCTCAACCTGACTAACAGAGCAGCTGGAACACAAGGACTCTCCAAAGGAACAGTTGTGTTTATTCCATTACTCAACACCTATTACCCAGATGAAGTCGTAGCAGCCAATAAAACCCCACAAAATTATAATGCTTGAGAATACCTTAACGTGTATGACTTTAACCCCAAATTAATAGCCTTTGAATATTCTTTTCCCAACTTCTTCACTGCAGTAGAACAGCTACAGCACTTAATCTAGTTATTTCTCTGGAAAGAATGGTGTGTTCTACTCACTCACCAGCACAAATGTGCCATCTGGCACAGGAAGCATTGATGCAAAAACCTTGCTGTTCCGTGCTTATTATGTACTTTTCATAAATCCTCTTGAATAAATTCATGAACAGTGTGTAAGATGTCTTAAAGTCAAAAGATTCTTCTCTTTTAAACAAGGGAAGTAAAAGTACTAAACAAGTGCATAACATGGTCACTGATATTCATTGCTGATGTTTTCTTTAAGCTTAATTTCTTGTGAAATATGTCTTACTGCCGTCTAGGTTTTCACAATCATTTGATATCCTGTTGACCAGATTAGCAATTCTGTAGATGTTTACAACTGTAGCATTAAGATACTCTTAAGTGCATATGAGAAAACTTAAGACTTTGTAGCAGGATTACAGACACCAGAGTGGCCAGTCAATGGTAATGATTTCACCTAGGAGTTTTTAACTCTAAGAAAAAAAAACAGTCATGGCACCCTAACCAGAAATCAAAACCTCAGCCCATAAAAGCTATATGTATGTATATGTCATGCACAATATTTGTATCTTACTTCCCTTTCTTTTGTTTTTGTTTCTTTTCTTACAATAGTTTTCCATTTAATTCATTTCCATACTCCCAGCTAGGACTCCAAAACCCAAAGGATTAAATTAAAAGGAACAAATTCAGTTTAATTTAGAAGTGTTATTTCCTTGGTATAAAACACCTCAYCAGATCCCAGCAAGCTTTTATCTTTGCAAGGCCGTTCTTTCACTCCTGGAGGACATAAGATACCACGGTACAGACTGTACTTACAGCCATTTTTTCAAATGTGGGACCTMATCAGGCAGTGATGGGATGAACACACCTGAACCTCTAGGAAATATGGATGTTCAACAATTGCTGTTAAGATACATACTYTGAACATAAGGGCAGTTGTTTTCTGACTCAGTCAAATATCTCTGCTAGTCCTTTTCATACCACCGTCCATAGAGAGCAGCTGTCAGTAGGCCAGAAGATGTTCTATTTTTGCTCATGAAATAGTGGTTGTTTTTCCAGCCCAAGTGATCAGCAAAGTCCAAGGTAATACCAGATGTCAGCAACAAAGGAAAGATGTAAGGTGTGCTCATATTTCCCCATAGCTGGAAATCTATCAGACCAGTGGCATCTGTGACCTCCTGCCCACAAGTGCTGAAGCTGAGGCCACCACACTTTACTAAGGCACAGGCCTGGACGTAGTATGTGCCATGCACTGTATGGAGCCCATCAAAAACTCCCAAAGCATATAATTCATCAGTTAAAACAGGTCTCTGATAATTTAAGTAACAGCAAAGGGTATTGGCACAAACCTGGAGCTCTCCTTTTTCCCCCCATACAGGAACAAAAGTGAAGTTGTCATACATCATTTCTGCATAAAATGAGGGAGGTGACTGTTCATTTCCTTTTTCAGATACTMTGCTAGGAGTCTCTTCTTGCTCCTTAAAGCAAACTTCATCATCCAGTGAGGTGCTCGTAAAAGTCCTGCATGAGTCATGTAAGTTCTCTCTAAATCTTTCATTACTCTCTAAATTGGATTTATAATCTGTGGTAATTACAGGAATTTCTGCTACTATGAGCTTGCCACCGTAACTTTCCATGTTGTGGTAGATGAATGACTTGACTGGAGTRTATATGCCACTCCCTGTCATGCCCAAGGTAGGGTGGTGGATGTTGGCTGCTAAAATATTGATATTGAAAGCAGTTGCAAAAGCTTGTTGAAATTCTACAGCRGACAAGAGTGGGAGCTGGTTCATCCAGGCAGTTGGATAAACAATTTGCTTCAAATTGTATTGTCTGATGAGGTTCACTGTAGGCTCAAAAAAGAGTATATCAAAGCAAGTGAACATGCCAAACTTGCCAGCAAAAGGGGTGTCAAAGAATGCATAGTCTGGCTCTGGAGGAGTATCAAAAGCATATTCAAAGTACAGATTGTGTTTGCGATACGTGGCCAGCAGGGTTCCATTGGCGTCAAACGCCACGTTGGTGTTGAACTGGTACCTCCCGTCCGCTGGGCACCGAGGATCCGTGCGTTCACACGGCTGCTTAGTCCCCAGGTTGGCCACAAGGAATATCTTGTTCTTCAGAGCCATGCAGCTCAGGCGCTGAACCACCTGGAAAACAGTATGGAGGAATGGGAGCATTTCAGAATATGCTTAAGTAAGTTCTACTTAAGCACCTATGACTTACTTAATACTTTTCAAATTATTATTTTCAACTGTGTTCAAAATTGAACACATTTGACCATATCCATAAAATCTAAAAGCTCTGATGATTTCATGACAAAAGCTACTGGAACAATAGCTTTGTTGGCAGAAAAAGTACTTCAAATGTTAATTTTAAAACAGCTCTGAAAAAAATTGTCTTAGTTTTATTTCCTGAGAAGGAAGTAAGTAAATAAATCTATTCCAAGGATGTTAATTTTTAGAAACTTGTGACTTGTAGGAGCACCGATGGCTTTAAAATACCGTATGTCAACTGAAAGCTTTGCCAAGGCAGCACAACTGCTCTKTGTGTGTCTTTAGAACAGCAAATGTCTAATAATGATCATCTGCACCTGGACAGTTTTACTATAAATTTTTAAAAAGCAATTACTAGCTATGACTTAGAGAAGCAGAGATGGAAATGGATAGCCTTTGCAAAGTTACAGAAAAGAAATAGAAAAAGTTGCAGTCCACAGTAATACTCAGATATTTCTTCCATTTCACAGAGTGCCATACCAAAAACTGACATTACTGCAATCTCCAAACAGCATCTGAATGGAAAACTACGTTCTTGCTTGCTTGGCCATGATCATTTTTAACAAAGATTCATAGGTCAAAATAGATCATTGTTATAACGGTGATTCATGTTGGTACACAAAWTCTGCTTAGTAGGTACATGCTTGATTTCTTTATGTTGAGTTCTTCAATATGAATTAACAGTCTGTATTTACTAAACATGGCCATTTTCAGTTTAGGTCCAGAAWACATCCAGATCAGATCTTGCATAATGAAACTTGGTCCCTGTCAAGCTGTGATTTCTATTACAGTGTAGCAGGTAAGTCCAGTTACTTATGTTGATCATTTGACACATGGTTGCTGAGTATAATGCTATAATATCATGAAGTTCTTAAACCCAAGTAACAAGAATGCACCAAAAAGGAAGATTATACTGTACTGTTTTATGTAAAACTATGTTATTCAAATTAATATCACATACAATGTATCTTGTGAGAGAACAATTACCATTTCAGAGGCTGGGGAGGTGCAGATGACAAATCCGGACGGCTCATACACAACTAATCTCCCTGCATGTATGGATCTGAACCCTCCTCTGCTAAGAATGAAACCAGCAGAGCCTGAGCATCCATGAAAACAGAATCTGGTCCTGAGTTGTTAAACTTCTTGCTTACCTCCCTAAACAAACCAACTTGAGCTATTTCCCATTTGGAGCACAAACTTAGCATTCAGTTATCCCACCCCTGCAGGCATCACTCCTATGTTTACCTCTGTGTCATTGAACAAATAAGGCTCTCTGCAGGGATTCCACTTGCCAGAGTGTGAATGCAGAACGAAATCCAAGAAAGGGTAAATGGAGCTTCTGGTGAAGTTGAAGCCATGGATTCCATCTTCAGGAAAAACAATGATCTGTGCCCCCTGTATGTAAAACAAAKACATATTTTGTAGGAAAAGCAAAGGAAAAGAGGGGATCTCATAGGTAAAAAGAGATAAAGAAAGYTAAGAATAACCCTATTAGGTTTAGCCAATGATGTAGTTTGAAAGTACCTTTTCTTTGACTTCATAGTTGGTGTAACTTATGTAAYAGATGTGTAACTATGTATATTATAAAAACCTATTTAACATGACACATAACTTTATCTTGAAAAATCATGCACATGGCATTATATTTAATAAGAGCATTCTGCATCCAAATTCTTACCAAAGGTATTCTCCCTTCACACGARTCATGAGGATATCATCATTCAGGTTAAGGACTGATGATGTTAAACTTGTTTAAATTTTTTTATCAGAATAATGCTATTTGCAGATACACTTTGTCAAAGGTGCAGCATCACTTAGATAATTAAGTATATAGGCTTGGASAGAGTACTGGGAGTGTTGATTTCAGAAATTTCCCTGTGGAAGCAGTGCACAGGCTGGTAGAAATGCAGTCATGCCAGAGGCTCTACCTGAAATTCAGGGAGATCGGAACTGTTCCTAAAAATGAGGTGGATTCCTCTTAAATTAGACACAGCACCAGTCACTCAGATTCCTGTTAATTTTCAAAAGTCAGTTCAAATGTGTTATCTATGGCTTTGGGATAATTTATGTRTCTTGGGTGCAAGGCTGCATTAAAATTGCTACTATGCTTCTGCCCAACCATATGAACTTCTCAAAAAAAAAAAAAAATCATGTTTTCAAATTATACAAAAATAGTAATTATTCTCTCCCAGAACAACAGACCTGTGGAAATTGCAAGTCAATTCTTCTCTGTGTAAGTCCAGCAACACTTGCTTTCTCTGACTAGAACCAGCTCTGGGTTTTCTTGGGAGGGGAGGAAAGAGGGTTGTGCATAAGAACAGCTGGAAATACTAGACTCTCCCCTCTAAATATATTTAGACTGAGAYCCATTCCATGGTGGGTAGAAGAAAGGAATGGAAAACTTTAGTTCCACAAAGTTGTTAAAGGCGGAACATTAATTTCCAAAGCATTTGACTTCCTCAGTTTTTAGAAACATTCAGGAATTTCCAYTGAGAGCACTGGAATAAAATCAAACCCAAAACAGCTGCCAGTAAGACAATCTTTCAAGGAAACCCTCCAGTTAAGAAAACAGAAAGGAGCTAAGTGTTCAGACCAAAATAGAAAATTCGTTTGCCTATACTAAATAACTACAGCCATATTTTTCCAAGCTTGGAATAACCCAAGTTAGGCAGGATGCTAATTGGCCTGATTCTTTTYCAGAGCTGCTGGCAGGTCAGATTGTCTGAGAACCCAGACCAGAGTTATGTATATAAATATGGCTTTAGTTGCCTAGGAACACAAATGTGAAGGATTATCTTCAAATAGCACTTCCTCTATATATACCCAGCGCACMCACAACTGCTCCAAGCTGGGCTGTACCTGTCTGGCAGCAGCCAGCACTTGCTGTTCATAGACGTCGAGGTTCCTGCCCATGAGCTCCAGCGCCGAGCGCCGCTCCACCAGCGCTGCTGGATTGGGGCTCAGGATGGATTCGTGCTCGTACACCGCGGCAATGTAGTGCCCCTCCCTCCTCACTCYTCCTGACACTACTTGATAGAAGAGAAAGCAGATGGGCAGCTTCCAGCACAGAGCCACCATGGTGACTGCCATAAACCTAGAGAAAAAAAAAACAACCCAGATAGATGGGATGGAGGCAGCTTAGCAAAGGATCATGCCAGGAATTTAAATTGACAATTAAGTGTGGATGGTAGTTGAGGCTCTCAGCAGTGTGGTGTTTTTAGGTCCCTAAAGGGCCACATGCATATTGTTTCTAAACCTTAAATCCATCTACACTGGTGCCTTAAATAACTGCATCCTGCTCAAAAGCATTTTAGCTTCATATATAGTTCTACTGATCTCCTTGCTTGGTTTCCCTTTACAATCAACATTCATTTATAGATTATTTCACCATATATCAAAACAGCTTCGGGAAAAGTTAAAAGCAGCTCACAAATTTGCAGTTCCTCCCCCATTTGGTGATGGAGGATGCATTTAAAAGTAGCATTTCTGAAAATTACTTGGAGACTGTATTTAGTAGTCAAGCAGAAATAGAACTTACTTTATCAATACTGAAGCAGATAATCACCAAGAGAATTACACTAGACACTACTTCTGTATCTATCTTTCTGTCATGAAAATGCCTCTCCTAATGGATTATGGATTCACTGTATTCCAAYTCCGTATGTGTAATAGGCAAATATTTCTCCTACAGTGCAACTTTTTTGAACATTTATAAAAATGTTGAGTGCAATTCAGATCTGCATTCCTCCCATACAATGCAGATAGGTAAGGTTAAAAATGTTTCCATACTAATAACAATAAATCAGAAATCCATACAAAATGGAGAAAATTTGCATTACTGAGCTTTTCTTGGGAAAAAAAATTAAGAATTATTGAGTCTGGAAGGCTGGGCCACTCTGCAATATGGGCTCCCATGTAACCTTTTGACTTYTCATGTCAGGAAAGGACTTAGAACAAGAACTGACACAGTCAATGGCTGTGCAACACCTCTGAAAGACTACAAAAATGCTTTTAAATTCAGAATTATTCTCAGAACATGAGAGTTCTGTATTTGTCACCACACTGTCACTAGTATCATTAAGGAATTAAATCTCGAATATCAGTGAAATTGGAAAAGCGTGCAGAAGAGATGTGTTAGTGCTATATATTGATAGCTGTAAGTTGAGTTACTGGTTTTTTAATTGTATTTTCCCTCTGTATCCAAGAAAAAAAAATGTTCCGAAACACTCTTGGTGCCCTTCAGTCTTTGTAATCCACAACTTCCCGAATTTTTCCAATGCAAATACAGACAGACATATGCACGAAGAGTCTTCTCTAGATCCCAACAGGAGTTCAGCAGGAAAAAAAATCCATTCTAAACTAATCACAATCTTATTTTTATTCATGCTATATTAAATGCCGTTTTGTACCAAAGAAAGAAAGTCTATGGCAAGTTAACTGAAAATATCTCTTTGCTTAAATTCCAGGACGAAAAGCAGCTAACAACAATCTTTAATACTGCTTTTTTCGGGTTTTTTTTTTCCTAAACACCAACTGTTTCATACCTAAGAATGAACAAATGGAAAAAGCATTTAATAAGTACTGTCTTAGTTGTTACCTTCTATAAGTGCTACATGCTATTTGCAACACTGGTTTGATAGCAGCACAATCCYATGTAGGACAGCAAAATCATAACCTTAGTGCCCATGGTAGGCAGAAGACTTGTTTGCTCATCCAAAAAATCTTATATGTAATAATAACACTTCTAAGTGTACACAAGTAACTTAGTTATTCAATGCATCTAAGCTCAACTACATATTCATATTTCCCTGAGCTTTAATTAGCCAATGTGTCCATACATGCCTTCAAGGGTAAACTTATTTAAAGCATGATAAAAACAGAATAAACCCATGGCCTCTCTGTAATCAGATGGATTAAAGATACTGCATGTATATAAACAGTTTTGAAAAGTAATGTATGACAAGCTACCCTTGCTATGCTGCATATTGAAGAAAACATTCAGTACTTATAGAGGGTGATTCAGCAATGCATATCAGAATACAGGGGACTCCTTGCAGCTCAGCTTTGCAAATGAAATATCAAAGCACATGGGAGGATATAAAGCAGTAGCAGAGAGAGGGGCTTCAAGGGTGGAAAACCTCTTACAGTTAAGGAACATACTGAAAATAAACAAGCTGTGTTRCACTTCACTGACAAAATTCTCTTTTCTATTTCTTGTCACCCCTTCAAAGCCAAAATGGCTATTTAAGACAGGAATGGGTTCTAGTCAGCTGCTCCTTAATAAAGTTGTCAACTAAGATGTAATTAGAATTTATCATTACTAGTGATGGAAAACGAGTTTCAGATCACAAGATGGAATTGCTATGCATTAGAAAAACTGCCCTTTTTAAAAGCCAAACACATGAACAGAAAAAAAGTTAACAGATAATGAGCTTCTACAAAACATCATATTTTACAAGCATGCTYGGAGAGTTCTTATTTTTTTACCACATTTCATTTCCTGGTGGTCAGAATCACACAAAATAACTAATCTGAATCTTTTACTCATTTAGATGCACAAGAGGTTTGGCATTGAACATGCAACTACACAATCCCATCTGGCTGAACCTGGGCCAACTAAAATAACTAAAATAATTCCTCTGAATCCTACCCTGGGTTGTGATTACTGCTAGTCCTACAGATGAYGGCTGAGCACTTGTGTGAGTGCTCCCTAAAGCCTTCCCCCTGTTTGACAGTTTAAACAACAGGATTCTGCTATTTCATATATTGCTTTTAGCACAGAGAGCCGTGACAAGCCSAAGGCTGGCCTTGGCTATATTAAACATTCCAGCCAAAATAAGGATACAGGGTTTACTCAGCCCTTAGGCTGTTGAGATTCCAAATAYGTCTCTGCCACATTCTGGATGGTTTTTACTACTGGAAAGTGCTACACCATCCCACAAGTCCTTTCCTTGAAGAGAAGTTAATTTGCTTAGGATCTACAGAGCTGTCACCTCACCTGAACCATGACTTTAAATTTTTATGACCTGAAATGCTTTMTAATTTTATCTCTTTTTATGTGCCTTTCTTGTGATTGATGTGGTCCTTTGCCTGACAGACAGGCTTCAGCAGGATTATATCACCCAAATATAAATATTTCCTAGCAGTATTACTGTCATGCAGCCACAATATTTCAGTGACAGTTTCACATAAAGAGTTAAAAGGCTGGTGTTTAAGTTTGGACGCAGTCACACTGCAGACTGTTTTCCTACTCATCTTTTCAGAACTATCTAATCCCAGTAGGTTGTGAAGTAAAGCATCCAGTCCCTTGCTTTTCAACAACTTTGCAAACTTAGACAGAGAAGAGCAACACATACCCTCCTTCTTTGCACTTTTACACTCGGAGGAACCCAACAGACAACAGACCATGAAATAACAGAAAAAACACAGCATTGGGTTGGGTCCTCTTAAGTGGTTAATAGCAAACTCATGTTAAGCTATGCCTAACACATAGGGTAGTAACATAAATAGTTACAGTAAGTAACATAACATAAACAGTAACAAGTAAYAATAATAACTTAAACAGTAGCGATTACTAAGCAAATATTCAATTGGCTATGAAAAAAGTCTTTCTTAGGTTAAATGATATCTGTGGATTATGATGTTGCTGCCATTCTACTATGTATTTACACAACATACTATAAAAATACATATAGTGAAATTCAAGGATTTTTTTCGACTGATCCCTCCTATTGCTTTTATTTGCTGTATTATATTACAGTACTTTACTGTGTAGTTTTTGTGGAGGGTTTTTGTCATCTATGTGGTCTGTTGTTTGTTATATCTACGTTTTTTTTTGTTGCTAGTGAGGGCGAACGGAGCGCTGCAATCMTTAGTGGTTTGTCCGGACGAACCGAGGGCGGCGGCACGGACAAGGCGGAGCGTGGGRCAGGGACATGCTGTCAACTGTGTCACTTCAGCGACACGTGCCGGGATGGGCAGAGCCGGACAGAGCGGGGTGCGCCATCCTTCAGCTGCGACTTTGGGAGTGTCTCACACTCCTCCTCTGTCACTTCTCCTGCTGAGCGCTGGCSTCGGGCACCGGCACCTCACACACACTCCTGTACTTTGCCCCGCTCCGTATTCACCCCCTCTGACCAGCCCCACAAAGCCGGAGCGCTCAGGGGCGGCTGCCCCGGGTACCCGCGCGGTACTGCGGCTCACGGAGGCCATCGAGGCCCGTCTGGCCCGCCCCTTTCCGCTCCGCGGCCGCTCTCCCCGTATCCCATCCCATCCCATCCCATCCCATCCCATTCCATCCCATCCCGGCCCATCCCAATCCCGGCCCGCCCCGCCCTGCTCCCCCCGCCGCCCCCGCGCACCCCTCGCCTCACGCTGTGGGCAGCCACCCCCGACCTCTGATTGGCTGCCCGCTCTGGCCAATAGGAAACCATCCCGGTCTCCGCCCCGCGCCGCCCGCCAGCGGGGTCAGGGGTGGGTCCCCTCGGCCCCGCCCCCTGCGCTGTCTGATTGGCCGAGCCGCCTGTCAGTCACTGCGCGCGACCTTCGGCCGGGGTCCCCGTCCGGTCCGGTCCGGGCGGGCAGCGGGGCTGACATGGAGGACGAGGCGGTCAGCGGGGCGCAGCTCATCGCCCAGGCCCTCAGGGCGCAAGTAAGAGCGCGGGGGCGGGGACCGGCAGCCTGCGGGCCGGGACAGCCTGTAGCGAGCGTGTGTGTGCGGCCAGACTCACCCCGACCGCCGCTGCCGCGCTCCCGGGGGCGGACGGGAAGAACTCGCCCCGCCGCTTTGTGGGAGGGAAGGAGAGAGG